ATTACTAAATGCACAAGCACAGACCAAGACAGAGCTGTTCTACATCAAGGGTGACACACGATCAACTATCCACTTCTTCATAGCAAGACAGTCCAACCATGGAAGGAAAACAAGGCATCCATATAACTAAACTTCTGAAGGTAATGGAAGTAGGCAAAGAATGATTCAAATCACAACACTGTCAGGTCTCAACAGCCATACCTACATTGCAAGATACAGCCTCAAGCACACTGCAAGCAGTCCCACGGTCACAGACCTTAGCTTCACAATGCTTTCAAAGGTACCACCTTCAACAGGACACCATGCCACAATAACAGAGCAACTACTAGCAAAAAAAAAAAAAAAAAAAAAGGATGTTATTTGTAAATCTCCTAGATGGTTTTCTGCAGTTTTATTTCCACCCCAAACAACATGATTCAAGCTTCCCCAGGCAGCCTGTGAGACGGGGTTCCAAGGCACTGTGGCTGCAGCCCAGGGAAGAAGCAAAACCAAAAAACTTGTGGGCAACACCTTCAGCAATTTCACTTCCTCCCAGATGATACTGACAGCTACACAACAAAAACCATTGCTCTGCCCTGTCTGAAGGTCCTTGCTGAGCAGCAGCTCTAAAAAAAACCTAAAACCACTGGCCCTCATCTTTTGGAGAGCCACCCCATGTCCACCACAGAGTCTTTGTGGTCCCTGGTCTCAAGTGTTCCCAGGAAGACGGACAGCCCTCACAAAAACAGTGCATGGGAAGTTCAGAAACTTCTCTTTCTCACATGCATTCAATGGAGATGGTGCAGACTGGACACAACTTGACCTTCATCACTTCAAAGTTCAGGAAACAAAGGCATAAAAGACTAAATAGCCATACTTCTCCAACCACCAGCAAATGCCCTACTTCCAACTGCCTTCAGAGAAGGCTCTCTGCTACCAACTCCCATGACATTATTCAGAATTGCCTCTTACATAGTATTGTCCTTCAGCTCCCAGAAGCCAGCAATTGACTGAAAAACTCATCTGTCATTTCAAGAGATAACAAAGTCTAAGTCTCGTGACTTCTGGTTACCAACTGATTTTTTAATATCCAATTCACACTTTCCAAAAGCCTGAAGTTGCCAGTACTGGCATATTTACATCCCACTACTTCATAAGTTGTCAAAAAAATCTGCTACTTTCAGTCAGTTATTATATGCAAATACCAACTTTATAATATTTCTAGACAGCTCTAGCATTATCATGGGTACAATTTATACCTCTTCCATTTCATTTAAAAAGACACTGAACTGGAACTGGTCTGGAATAATTCAGTATTAAAAATACTCTCCTTCAATAAATCTGTTAAGCATTATTTTCTAAATCTAATGATGAATCCTCTAAATTTTACTTTCATTTTTATGGAGCTGCATATATTAAAACATATAGCCTTATGAATCATCTTCACAGACAACCAAGCAATTTAGTAATCTTGGACATAGTTTATTTAGCCTGAAATAAGCTTTGCTTTGATTATGTGCAAACTACTGTGTGTATCTATTTTCAAATGTATGGAAGATTCTGACACTTCTGGAGAATAAAAACGTGCTCTAATGATGTGAGTACATTATGTGGATAACTGAGATTACCTTACAATTTAAATATTTATGATCACAAGCCTATACTAGACAAACTACAAAATTATTCCAGTGTTCCCTAATGCACTCCATCCATCCTAGCACTGTAGAGATCGAAGGACATATTACACAGCAGCGTAAAAGAAAAGTGAATACCATAGCCTAACATTTTATGGTCACTTCAGAAGCAGTTGTTCCATTGCAGCTGCCCTCCTTCAGAGAAAGACATTGGATCTGGTTGCCAGGCCAGCACCAGGAAGACACCACCTGAGTACATTCAGTTGGTACTCAGCATCTTCTGCAGAGGTATTTCCAAAGACACAGGAGGTTTGGAGTGTGCCAAAACTGTTCACAGTGGAGACCAAGTTGACTGCCTGCAGTTTGGAGCGCACACTTTGTATCTGTCCACCTCAGCTGTCATCATCTGTCTTCTCCAGCTGCACAGGTCATTGTCATCCTCACGCAAAGAGCAGCTTCATCCCCTAAGCAAGCCTCAGCACAACACCCTGAGCTGTGATCACATGTATTTACGTGAACAAAGCCTTTTTTATGGGTGTGCTTGCATAAAGCCAGGGTTACACACAGCCCATCATGTCTCTATTGTGTGACGCATGTTCACAAAGCTTCACCTCAGCACCTTTAGCCTTACAAGAACCTGTCTCTCAGTGCCTTGCTTAGATGTTACACCTACTTCAAGTGCAGAATGAGCCAAGATTCAAATCACCCATTATTCAGAACTGTCAGACCCCAGTCTCTTGCGTGCTCAGTGGAGAGCAGCCTTTGGGAACCATTTTTAATTGCCATCGTCAGTATTTCTCATGCATTTTGGAACTAACATTCTAGTGAACCACATGAGAGCTCAAAACATTTTATTTTGCAGCAGAGAAGCAAATTATGTTGCTCCTTCCTGTTTCTGCCATGATTAAGCAGCTGATTCACTCTCAACATCCTTCAAAGATGACTAGATGGAATCTTTTCTTTCCCAATATAAAATAAATCCAGGCATGAAAAGAAAGGCAACTATTTCAGAGACCATTTGGGAGCTTTAGGGTCTCTTTACAGGTAGAAACTTCTGTGATTACACTGACAACAGTACCCCTGAATGTCTCCTGGCTTCTAATCTGTCCATGTGAACCCCTGAGCCTCTATTTTTAATTTAGTAGCACTGACCTCAGTATCTGAGTGACAATTTCAGAAACAACATAGACTTAATCACAGCAACAAAGAGTTACATGAGAAAGATCCTGCTTCTGACATAACAATAAATAAATAAATGTAGTATGGGAAAGAAGAAACTCCCCAGAACTGCTTCTGTAGAGCATTTTCCAAAATCTTTGAAAGAGTATCTATAGCTTCAAAGGGAAACCAAATGCGATCACAGCAGATCTGCCACCAGAGGACAGACACCGAAACGTAGAATATATTCAGTGCATTGGAATCAGAGAAAGACAAACAGTCATAGAACCATAGAATCGCCTGGTTGGAAAAGACCTTTGAGATCATCAAGTCCCACCATACCTGTCCACTACTAAACTGTATCTCCAAGCACCCCATCTATCCATCCTTTAAACACCTCCAGGGATGGTGACTCAACCACCTCCCTAGGCAGCCCATTCCAGTGCCTGAGAACCCTTTCAGCGAATAGATTTCTCCTGAAAAAACTTACCTCCCTTGGTGCAACTTAAGGCCATTGCCTCTTGTTCTGTCACCAGTTACCTGTGAGAAAAGGCACATTTCCAGTGCCTGAGAACCCTTTCAGCGAATAGATTTCTCCTGAAAAAACTTACCTCCCTTGGTGCAACTTAAGGCCATTGCCTCTTGTTCTGTCACCAGTTACCTGTGAGAAAAGGCACATCCCCGCCTCACTACAACCTCCTTTCAGGTAGTTGTAGAGAGTGATAAGGTCTCCCCTCAGCCTCCTCTTCTCTAGACTAAACAACCCCAGTTCCCTCAGCCGCTCCTCATAAGACTTGTTCTCCAGCCCCTTCACCAGCTTTGTTGCCCTTCTCTGGACACACTCCCGTGCCTCAATGTCCTTCTTGTACTGAGGGGCCCAAACTGGACACAGTATTCAAGGTGCGGACTCACCAAGGCTGAGTACAGGGGAAGGATGACTTCCCTGGTCCTGCTGGTCACACTATTTCTGACACAAGCCAGGATGCCATTTGCCTTCTTGGCCACCTGCGCACACTGCTGGCTCATATTCAGCTGCTGTCAACCAACACCCTCAGGTCCTTTTCTGCCAGCCATTTTTCCAACCACTCTTCCCCAAGTCTGCAGTGTTGCATGAAGTTGTTGTGAGCCAAGTGCAGGACCCGGCACTTGGCCCTGTTGAACCTCATAGAGTTGGTTGCAGCCCATTGATCCAACCTGTCCAGATCCCTTTGCAGAGCCTTCCTGCCCTCAAGCAAATCAACATTTCCACCCAGCTTAGTGTCATCTGCAAATTTACTGAGGGTGTACTCAATCCCTTCATCCAGATCACTGATAAAGATGTTAAACAGGACTGGCCCCAACATTCCTGCATTTCTGCATCGGGGGCCCCTTCTGCATTCTTCCTGCAATAGGGGATCAATGCAGAAAGAGCCTACACCCATACAAAAACTCATCACGCAGGGTCAGCAATGGGATCTGAGGGAAAAGCAAGACCAGGCAGCTACCTCCAGCACCGTTACTCTTCTGATGTACCTCCAATGGTTCAGCATTTTTTCAGCAGCATGGCCTTTTCCTTCCTCCAAATGGGAATACCACATACTTGGTTCCCTATTTTATCATGTCTATTTTCTCTCCTTACATCATTCTTAGGAAAGGCTTCACAGTGAAAGATCACTTTTCTAGGCTAGTTCTTATAACTAAAGGTATGCACTGTACAGTGTACACAGCATGTTATGGCAGACAATGTTTAATTGCTGTAGTTTCCTGACTGGTAGTTCTGCTTCGATATCATAGCGACAAAGGTAATAACGGAAATCAAATACTTCATAGCCTGCCTGCACAGCAGGGTTAACTGACACCTCCGTCTTGAAGAGTACTGCTGTTTTAGTCTCGGCTGAGCTCTTCACTCAATCCAGAACAAATTTAGTCCTCACTGACGTTAATTTGTGCCAGCCACTTATTAAATAATTTTGAAAAAGAGAAAATAATCACAGGACAGAAAAAACAGGGCAGAGGGAAATCAGTATGAAAGCCAACACACTTATCTGACCTGTAGCAGCAAACAGACATGAAAACAGGGCAGAAGGAAGGGGCCAGAGTTTCATAGGTGACACCATTTTGCATTACATAGAAAAGACAGTAAGATAAAACAGGCTATTACTGGAACACCTTCTTAAATGGTGCTCATTTCTGCTTTTGGAAAAAAAGCTTTATCAAATACAGCAACATAAATTAAAGAGGCATCCAAACCTTATATACTTGTCCATATGTCCCATTTCCAACAACCTGCACCAGTTCAAATATTCCTGCAGGGTCCTGCAAAAAGCAGAAGAAATAACATTATTTGGAGCAAAGCAACCAATTCATAATGGAGCGTAGCTGTGCACAGTCAAAATGAAAATGTCTGTGACACATCTCTTAAAGATCTGTATCACACACTAAAGGGGAAATAGACAAATAACAGTATAAGAAATACATTAATATTAAAGTTTTCAGTCAATTTGCTCAAAACTCTATACCCAAAACAACTCGGTGTAGAATTGTAGCATGGCAATATGGCAGATACAACAAATACATAGAGATGTGTGAATACAAGAATTCAACAGAATCAGCTTAGCAGTAGAATAAGGAATAAACTCCACACTTCCCTAAGCCTTAAAACACTGAGCTAGCCTGGAGGCTGAGCTGCTGTCTTCTGCTACGAAACACTTAGCACTAGGATTGTTACAAAGGAAAGAATCTAAATAATAGAATTGAAAAAATACTCTATAAAGCACCTGAGCCCGATTACCTTACAAAAGGGAAATGTACCATCCCAGGCAATCTTAACACGACAGGTAGGCTGAGAATGCTCAACTGTCCTGTTCTGCAAACATAACAATGTTTTGATGTATTGAAGTCTCAGCTTTGAACCCAAACTAGACTGCTCTTAATTTACATGAAAGATTTGTGTAATGAGGCTTTGAGCAACCTGGTCTAGTGGAAGGTGTCCCTGCTCATGGCAGGGGGGTTGGAACTAGACAATCTTTAAGGTCCCTTCCAACCCAAACCGTTCTACAATTCTACTCAGGTGTCAAGTGACCAGTGCACCACACCACACAAGCCAACTTTCATCCTACTAGTTTAACACCAGTTGCTCTAAAAACAACCACTGCAGCAGATGTCCTTCTCCAATAATGAGATGCTGCAGCTTTTCAGCTAGAGGAAGACCATCTTGTTGCAAGGCATGGGCAAGTAAGTGTTCACTCCTGCATGACTGAGCACATTAAGAAATCTGTTGCTTCAGTTAAAACTCACTTGAGAGATTTATATAAAAACATTAAGAACTCAAGAGACCAGTTTCTTGGTTTCTGGCTGAGCCATTTATCAGTCCACTCATTTCTTGGGATGATATCACTGAGAGATTTATATAAAATATTATTAACTCCATGTGTCAGTTTTACCACATCTGTTTCAGCAATCTGTCATGTCAGTTGCCTATTGGTACTGTTGAGGAATGCAATGCAGAAAAATATTATCTCAGAAGTACAATTTCTGTGACCCTGGTTCCTCTGTGAGGAACTCTGCCAGACAAGGGCCTCCGTCCACAGTATCTACTGTACTCCTCTGTGGGAAGCACGAGCAGCACCCCACTTGCACACATCTTCTGCAGAAAGTAGCACTGCTGAGTTAAGGTGTTCATAGTGCACAGAAACCTAAAGGAACCTAGACTGCATTTTCAACTCAAGAGTTTGCAACTGTGCTTCTCACTTAAATGTGTGCTCTGTCCTCACTCTTCTTCTCCAAGCTTATTTATTATACAAACATAATCATTTAATGTACCTCAGTTCTCTCTCTCCCTCCAATCAATTTCATTCTGATTTAGCACCCTAATAGCTTGCTTCTAAAGGTTTCAGACACTCTAGGAAAAATCCAAGCAATTATCTAAATAAATGTCAGAATTAACTTCAATACAGCGAAAATCCTACCCTGTCCTTGCTAGCCAATTGAGCATTAATGTCTCAAGCCTCCACAGCTCTGAGTGCAGCCAAAATACTTGGCCATGTCTCTTCTTTTAATCAGGGCACCATAGTGAACTGAGCCTTGCTAAGAGTCATGAAGAATATTAATCTGGGCTCTGACTTTGGTCCTTGGATTGACCTTGCTTGCTTGGATATCAGCACTGCATCGTTTGTTGGCATTCTTCACAACGGGACAACTTCTTAATTTATCTTGGAGTTAGGTATCATCTTCAATATAATGCTTCCTCTCAGCTGCCATTTAAGGCCTGTGGTCCATCTAACCCTTCACCAGCCAGCCCCTGCCAAATTGCTAGGTTCACTTTGACAGATGCCAAAATCCTGGCCTGAACATTCATCACTTTAAGGTTAATTACTGTAATGCACTGTACCATATGGTGGCCTCCTTGCTTTGCTGCAAGTCATCTGCAGAGTACTCAAAAAGGCAAGAGCAAGACTGCTGACCCAGAGGCACCAAGGCCACATTCATCTCCTCTGCAAGGCAGAATGAAAAACAACCCGCACAGCAAGAGCTCGACTGAAACACACTTTTCACAGTCTCTGCAGCTAAACAAGATACAGGTGTCTGAAACTCCACTTCTCCTACAGAGCCTCTGCACCTTGGCACGTAAGACAGAGATCAGAGGCCTTATAACCATCTGAACACCCTGAAGAACCCAGGGCAGGAACGCCCTAACAAGATGATCCTGCAACGTTTGGGACCTACAGCCCAAGCCACCTCTTTCCAGGAAAAGGGGAAAGCCCTGGTGAGCACCTATTTGTATGGGAGCAAGGCCAGCTTGTGCAGTCTGAAAATGACCCCAGTCAGAGTTGTGCCTCCACAGTGGACCTCCTGACCACAGCAAGGCTGGCAGGAGCACCACACCAGGCAGCTCCCATCGGCCTGGGAACATCCAAGATAAGGCAAAGCACCTGCCCTTACATAGTTTCTGCAGCCCAGCCTCACCTGCCTCCCATTTCCCACTAAGCACAAACCCCAAACTAAGGCTGCTGACCTGCTGGAAAGGTTTCCTCTGAAAGGACACATCTGTCCTCTCCCGTGTTGAGGCTGAACCTTGCAGCCTCTGGGTGGTTTCTGCACTGGATGGTTCTTACACAAAGCCCAGTTTTTGGTTTGCAGCATTACTCTTTTTCAAACTTATGCTGATTTCTTATTGTTTAAGGAGATAAGATTCATCTGCTAAAGCTCTAAAGATGCATCTGCTAAAGCTCTAAAGAAGAACTTCCATTATTTCGTTTTACTCCCCTGAGCAGAGCCAGGTTAAACTTCTGCTTGCCTAGCCAGGAGCCTTGTGCCATCTTCACAAACTTTACTGTCTCTGTGGCCTTTCTTCTTTCTGCCTCTGGTCTGAAACACCCTCCTCACCATGTGATTACTGCAAAGGCTTCTCTCAGCCCTCTTTTTTTTGCATGGTATTTTTAGAAAGTAGTTTGCTTTAGTTTCACTGTCTGGGACTGACTGCTTTTTTGCCACAATTGAACTCTTCCCTCTTTTTCTGTGGAGGACGTCTTGGTTGGACTGGGTTGGTTGGTGGTCAGCTTCTGTGTAAAATAGTGAAGTGGATACGGGGCATCACACACAACCCTGTCAACTGTTTGTGGATGTGAAACACTAACAGTGTTGCTTTTAACGTGGCCAAAGTTTCGATTATATTAAAAACCTAACAACACAAGAGCATAATGCTAAAAATTCACAGCAAACTAGGCGAATGATGACTTTTTTAGCTTTGGGGGGAGGAGGAAAAAAAAATAAAGCCAAACCTTAATGAAAAACCACAAAAGCCAAAACCCCACGCACATACTTTCTTCCAGAAAATCCTCACTTCCCATTTGTTTTCTCTCCGCAGCGTTCACATCACCCCTCGGAACGTCAGCGGGGATTATTTATTGTCCTGGGAGGGGAGCGAACGCCCCCGATGAAGCGCTCGGCCGCGCTCCCGCGGGACCATCTCGCCAGCGAAGCGAACGCGACCTCTCGAGCGTGTAACTGGGCCGGGCGAGCCCGGGCCGGGCAGGAGAGGGGAGGAGATGGGAGCCCGGCTGTGCCGATCCCAAAGGCTCTTCCTCCAGCGGCACCGGCGGAGCCCTCGCCCCGCAGCCTGCTCCTCAAACCTCTGCTCTCCCCCCGCCTGCATGCGCGGCACCGGACGCACACAGCCGA